TATATATATATATATATATATATACTAACAGCTTGCAGCAATCTCTCTTCATTATATTATTTCCTATGAGATTTTCTATAAAAAAATAATTATATTCGTAGCAAATTACAACTTTAGAGTTGAAGTCATTGGAAACATTAAGGATTACTTTAGGAAAAATTTCTCACACAAAATATTATTTCTATAAAATTTAAAACTATATTAATTATAAATTGTATTACCATAAGTATTGTATTACCATAAATATTAATCAATAAAAAAAATATCTTAACATTAATATAGAAAATCGTAAAGACAAAAAAATATCAATTATATAATTTATTAATATTAATATAATTATAAATGGTATTATAATAAGTATTAATCAATATGTAAAATACATGTATCTTATAATATTGTATAATTTTCTTACGAGATTTTCAAAAAAAAAATTAATTATAAACTATAATAACATAATAACATATTAATTATATTTATTTTTATTATTAATTATATTAATTATTAATTATGAATAATTTTGAAATGAATAAAAATAATAAAATCACGCTAAAATTTCTTTCATCAAATTTTCATAAAAAAAATATTTCATATATAAAAAAATTGCAGCAAAAATTCACGTCATTTTTTTAAAAAGTAAGTTAGATAAGAAAATTTATGCTAATTTTTTTTTTACAAAATCCACGTAAAATAATATTTCAGGTATAAGAAATTGTAATGGAAATTCATGTAAGAAAATTAATTATAAGAAATAGAAAGTGTAACAACACAATAAAACATTAATTTTATTAATTATGAACAGTTTTAATATAAATATAAATAATAAAAAAATAACAACTTTTAAAGTATTTTTTTTTCAAACAATTTCTAAAGCATTATTTCTTCATGAGATTTCCCACACACAAAAAATATTAATCATTGGTAGTTGAAACTATAATAACATAATAAAATAAAATATTAATAATAATATTAGTTATGGAATTTTGAAATAAATAAACAAAATTAAAAAAAAAATTGTGACACTCTTTACATCAAATGCTATAATACTTGAAATAAATAAAAATTGAATCAAAAAATCTCATAAATAAATCTTAATTGTTCAACATGGAAAGTATCACATTTTTAACTAATAATAAATTAAAGTCTAATTGAAACCTAATACATTAGAAGTAATAATTGTCCTAAGAGCATAACGAAAGAAATCAATGTTATTCCCTAATGTCACATCCTATGAGAGCAAAATTTCAAAAGCAAAGACTAGGCCTCATCACTAATATCATCACCATTTTGATGAATCTTACCTATAATAACATCCAAAAATGAACAATAAGAAACAAGGAGTAAGAAACATCTCACTTTGTCTCATGGCGTGGGAGATAGTCGGATAGTCAAACACACAACAAGATATAACAACAATAATATATACATATACATATACTGATGGACTCCTTCCACCATGGGGTTGATCATTGACGTTCAAGGTAGGAAGAAGCTCCTTGCTAAGGCCAAAATGATGACCTTAAGGGTGGATGTTCCTTCAAGGGTGGAGGATTTAGGGAAGGTGGGCGTGAAATGGGAAGGTTGGGCGAATATGGAAGATAAAGGGAGGGAGGTGTGTTGGGAGCTTCTAGGTTGGCTCTCTTCACTAAGTGGAGGTGAAGGCAACTCAAGGAACCCTAATCTCACTCAAGGGAGGAGAAAGGAGAAGTAGGCCGTGGAGACTTAGTGACTATGGAAAGGATTTGAGGCAAAATGCTCTCTCAAATTCATATAATCCAAAGTGTGTACAAGGTACTAGGCTAAGGGTACTTATAGGAGTGGGAAGGTATCTAGGGTTGCATTTAGGGTTACATGGCCGTGTAATGCAGCCCAAATGCAACCTAAATGAACCCCTAGATGATGTGTGGGTTCCTTCCTACCAAAAGACCAAAATACCCTTTGACCTAAAAATAGAAAAAGTGGACTTTTGACCTCACAAGTCAAGGTTTAAGCCCAAAAATAAATCCTAAACTAATTTTCCCCATAATACAAAGGCTAAATGAAAATACATAATAAAATCCTATTACCTAAAGTACCCCAAAATACAAGGGTAAAAAAAGGAAATAAAGCAATAAAGTCATATACTACTCAAAATGGTTCTAGGAGATGAATCAATACTCCACACTCATGATAAGTATGGCTCTAGTATGGTGTCTCCTTCATCTTCCTCCATTCTCCTAGCCATGGACCTAGTAATGGGTCCAATATGAAACTCCAAGGGTGGTCCTCCATCATCCCCTCCTTCTTGAGAAGGATTTGTCCTCAAATCTTCAAGATTATCCATATCATTAGTTTCTAGAAAAGGTGTAAGATCACAAACATTAAATGAGGAACTAACTCCATAGTCAGAGGGAAGATCTAAAATATATGCATTGTCATTAATTTTTTGGAGAACTTGGAAAGGTCCATCTCCCCTAGGGTTGAGTTTGGACATCCTTTGAGTAAGGAATCTATCCTTTCTCAAATGAAGCCAAACCTAATCCCCAACCTCAAAAGTCACCTTTTTCCTCCCTTTGTTGTTATATTTGGCATACTTTTGGGTTTGTTTCTCAATTTGGCTCTTGACTTTCTCATGGTATTGAATGATAAAATTAGCCCTTGATACTCCTTCTTTGTGAAACAAAGAAGTAGTATTAGGGAGTGGTAGTAAGTCAAGAGGGGTGAGAGGGTTAAAGCCATATACAAC